CACACACACACACACACACACACACACACACACACACACACACACACACAAATATACAGTACAATGAATTTTTCTTATCAGTTTCTGAATATGTTCATCAGGACTCAAGTTTCCTCTCCTTCTGAACTCTTGTTACTTACTGTATGATGTGAATATGTCCAGGTGATGACACATTGCAATCTTCAGCACAGTAAGATTGTATTTCTGAAGAAAAAAAACAAAAAACAAAAGTGGGAAACAATTATTCAAGTATAACATATCTGATTTAATATACAATAGAGCGTGACTCGTGCCTGTAATAGCTGTTCTTGGTTGAAATTCACCCCTTTGAATAACTTTAAATGTTTTTAAACTAAAGGGATAGCATTCTTTAAAGGATCAAATATTACTTCCTGCCTTAAAACCTGGAGTTTAGGAATATATTATGTGATTTGTTGAGTGTGTGTTGGAGATGATGGTCAGCTAATACCACACCAAATGTTAGCTCAATAAATATAAAAGTGACTGAGTTGTGGTCATCTTTTCAATCTTAGGTTTTATTAGCTGTGGCAGCCACCCCGAACTGAGTTGACTCTAATAATCACATGTAGATGTAGAGTTAAAACTAAGCAGCACAATGGGTTAACCTCTTAAGCCCCAAGGGGTTTTCTTGATGTATTCACTCAAAATACCTTGCCAAAATGTAACTGAGTGTATCTCAGCATTTACAAACTCTAACTTAAATAACCTTGGTATCAAAATAAAGCAACACTTGGCAGATTTCATCAGAAGTGTAAGTATTAAAACAGCTGCTGTGGTTTTAGAGATATTGAGGATGGAACATAAATTTTGAATTTATTTTTTTTACTCTCAGCTGAATTTTTCATTAAACAGTATAAAACCTATTTAAAACCATAAAGATTCAGGCTAAAAACTCTTGGAAACCATAAATCCACTTGTGGACATTAACTGTGCAAAGATTCATGCTGCTAAAGTTAACTGGAGCAAAGTTACAGAGGTTTGTGTAGATAAATTATTTTGTGTTTTGTCATTCTGCACAGGACAGGCCATGTTAAGTATTAAGAAATCTTATGTTTTTCCATCCAAAAGTTATTTATTTTTTCTTAGCGGCCTTAAAAGACTTGTAAATGAATGTTTGTTCCTTAGAAAAATTATCCAAACATTTATTTGTCACCATATATATTATATAAAATAATTTAAATCATTCATTTGGGGTTTGTATAAAATAAAACTGCAATGATTTGAATTCCTCTTTATTGTAACTCCACAAGCCCCCTTTCCACCTCTTTTCTGAGCTGTCTCTCAGATCAACTCATTTTAAGGCTGTCTCTTCAAATCAAATGAGGCTCTTCACACCTCACCCCCCCCCCCCTCGAGCTTCCAGAGCAGTTCAATCTATGGTTTGATTGATGGATTTACAGTTAACTAGCTGCGCAAAAACGTTTTATTTACAAATGAATTAAAAGATGTCAACAAGGGAAGACTTATCATCTAACCTTACATGTTGGAGTCAGACTGAGGCATGGAGCTGAAGAATTTATTTACAAACTAGCAAGATGAGGTGCTGATGTGGCAGCAAAACAGTCAACGACAAGCCAGGAACAGATCATTAACAGAATCTTACTCAGAAACAGGATCACACAGATTTGAACTGGAGTCTATAAGGAGTCAGAGCTCATCAGTTAAGTACAAACACCTGCACACTGAGGCGGAGCCTGAGCAGGTGGGCGGGGCAGGAACAGAATACACTCTGAACTGAACAGACTAATCAGGAATACAAGAAAACCGAAGAACAAGTAACTAAACAAAAGCACAGGATCTAAACCTGATTTATCTGTCTTCAGGCCTCCCCTGAAAAAGAGGTCTTTGATTTCAATGGGATTTTCCTGATTAAATAAATTCATTTGGGTCTTCCAGATGGACAATGACCCTAAGCGTACTGCCAAATTAGTTACAAAGTGGCTTAAGAACAACAGAGTCACTGTTTTGGAGTCGCCATCAGTCACCGAGCTCTGATCTCAGTCCCACAGAACAGTTTGGTCCGAGCTGAAAAGGCGTGTTTGTCTCAAAGCCTCAGTTCTGTCAGGAGGAGCTGGACAAAACTCCATCAAACTATTGTGAGAAGTTTGTGCAAGGGTGGTTTCTGATATGGTTGAGGTGGGCAGTTGTTCAGGGTGGCATCTTGTCGAGAGTATCATTTGTGCCCGGTCATTCCCCTAAAAAAAAGCATTTTTTTCTTTCATCCTAGAACTCCTAACTCGTGGGGAGTGGGGGCCCGCCGTACTGTAGCTTGCTGCAGAGGTGCTGAAAAAAAAAAGAAGGGTAGGGCATCGGGGTTTTTTCTCATCTCCAACAGTTTGCAGAGTATTGTGCAATCCAAGACGAGGTGCACCCATCTCATTCTTTGAATAGGAAATAAGAGAATTCAGTGATTTTTATTAAACATGGGCAAGGTACATGTGGGACATGTCCAAGGAGTTGTTCACCCAGGACAACAAACAGCTAGGATCGCCCCCTGAGCTTGTGGAAGGAATCCAAAAACACCTGACCTAGGTCAGCCTTAAGGTTGTTCTACCACTAAAGAAATAGATGTTAACTACTGGATACACATAACTCTAATATCTCTGAGAAAACTGTCGACTTTGAAACAATTTCCAAGTCTTAAATCTGAATCTGTTTTTTAATTAGAAGATCTCTTGTTAATAAAACCCAGTCTTCATTTGTTTTTGTTTTTTTGTAATTATTGTTTGAGACACTTTAAGTTACAGCTTAGAAACATTTTCATAGCTCACAGCTGAAAGGTGAAAGGCTGAGGTGACGTTGGCTTGTTTGAATCACTGGACGGACTTTACTGAACCTCTCAGAAAGTAATCCCTGGATGTACGTACAGCTGGTTCACCTTTGGGCTAAACAAAAGCTTTACGATCAACCTGCAGACCACTTTGAGGAGAAAAAGATGATGTACCTCCATCCTGCAGCATGAAGCCAAAGAAGGAAGATGGACAGAAGAAGTTACATTGAAGCAGACTGAGGCTGTTCAGAGGGAGACAGAGAGGTTGCTCCAGGAGAAGAGATGGCAAACCAGAAACTGGAAAGAGGAGGATGGCTCATCTGGCAGCTTTCCTTCAGTCAGGATTTCTCCTCCTTCAATCCTCACTTTGGACCCCTGAGAGAGAGTGAGAGAGAGAGAGAGAGAGAGAGAGAGAGAGAGAGAGAGAGAGAGAGAAAGAGCAAAGCCAAAAGATGGGAGGAAAAAGAAAAACAACAGACATTCCAATG